AGTTTGAGGTATCTTTGAAGCACATATATTGTACTTCGTTGTAATTTTCTTGAACAGAGAAAAGATGCGATAGATACATACGTTTCTGCGATTACAATTATTGTGTTTACAATTCTTGGGAAAAAAAAGTAATTTTTATAGGAGACTACTTTAAAAGTTGATCAATTTTCGACTAATATAAAGACTTACTTTCTCGCGTTTGTTAGTTCTGTTAAAGTCTCTCTTTAATGTGCATTAAAGATGTTTACATTTTACCTAGTACGTTCTAACGGTATTTTATATTTTTTTAAATGTAATTTTGCGTACGTGTATTACGGAATACGCGCACCATGCAAATACCTAAACACAATCTGAATCCAGTTGAACAACTACAGATGTACAATTTTACAGACGTGACTTTCCATAAGCGTTTCAACAATGTTTGCAATATTCAAAGTCTATTTTGCATTGCATTATCTCTGTTTTTTTTCCATATATTAACGAGTCTTTCGTAGCTATTCAGTTCAAAGTATGTACTTCTACATTATTTTAATAATCTTTTCTTGACAATTGTATTTGTACATATTTGGCAAACTTTTGAAACACTGAAAGTCAACTACATGTGTTACACAACAAGCCGGGTATAATACGTGATTGTTTTCCATAGGTTGTACTGCAAAAATAGCTAGCAGATTCCCCTACAGACATGATATTGGTGGATTGGTCTAATTCAATGTACTAACAACAATCCAATCTTGATCTTTGTTAATTGGGGAATCGTATTTGCCAGCGTCTAAGTTTCGAGTAATATGGCACAATATTTTAACGTTGTGACCAATGCCAGTGGTACTTTCACATTAGAAGAAGTACCAGGAATCTGTACAGACGAGCAACGAATTCAGTTAGTTGTTGGAGACGTTAATAATAGCAGTAATGGTTCACAACGGCTTGTGACTTACGCTACTGCACAAAACAGGCAGGCAATATTCTCCCCGCAAACTATTAATTTAGGGAATCAGATATCTGCAGCGCGATTGGAACAAGGGTAACTTACTACAGCATGTATATTTTCAATTGCTCGAATTGCATTGAGATAGTAGAGCAGCTCTAAGCTTTTGATATTTTACGAGAAGTGTACAGAACTCGAGATTTAATTTATTTTTGTTTTGTTTTGTAATTTCAATAACTCCCAAAAGTAATACATGGGGCATTGATACAATACTGGTTGTACGAGATAAACTTTAATGGTTCTGAAATATATTATAGATATCTTAATGTGTGGAATGCATATCTTGACACTTTACATACCGTACAATGGGCCATACATTTTGAGATTACAACGTTGTTCCGATTTCTGAAATGTATAGTAACTTTATGGATATTATTAGAGAGAACGCATTTAAGATTTTTGATGAAAATTTTGCACACATTGACGTGTTGAATTTTAACTCTTTTTTTTTACACGATCGTGTAACATGGAACATTTTTGTAACAGGTGCTTCTTAAAGTAGTCTTCTATCATACTATTGAACAACCGCATATATTGTATATGTGTAATTGAATTTTAAATATGATTTTTGGTTAAAATAGTGAAATATGTCTCTAAGTATCTATATTTTGCACATTTTATAGACATAAACAAAAAGGTATATTTTTTTAATGTATAACAGTATATGTTAACTCTAATTACATGGAATTCTATTTTACGTAATACAATTTTTTGTATAAATATTTAAAGCAGTGGAGCTGCATTTGCAATATAACAAGACATGTTACAAAAATATAGAGTAATTAAGAACACTGTAAATTCTTCTTTTTGAATTTTTTTTCATTATAGTTGTTATATTTGTCTCATCTAACATTTGTGATACACACACATTTACGTTTACTGTCGATTTTTATGAGGATATTTGTTTCGTTTGTTAGAAAGAAAAGTGAATGTTTTACCTTTTATACAGGAGAGTTTTTTCTTGCACGTTTGTGCCTCAAAGAAAATATTAGCAAAATAGTCATAAGCCTGCGTACTAATTTATTGGTTATGGTGTGTAGTGTATGTATGTATGCGTATAAAAAAATTGTATTTTAAGCTAAAGCGCACATATCAAATTTAATAAGTCATAATGATTTCAAAGTGAATATATATTTATGATAGAAGCAATCAAAAGCCATGATAAAAAATTTTTAATGATAAATAGAAAATTGTGTATAATATATTTGGTACAATCGATCCTTAACATGTGTGGCCTATAAGCGAGTTTTTTTTGCACCAATGATTATTCCGTTCAAAAAGTTTCTCAACTTACCAAGTATATTGTATCAGTTTTTAATCTGTCAATACTCTTTCTTTCTGGAAGCTTTGAATCTAAGGAAACGTAGGAGTAGCAATGTTAAAATTATTATAATCTGAATTAAGAAATGCAACCAAAATATATAAGTTTAACAATAAGTTCTATTTTGAAAATATAAATAGAATTTTTTTTCTTTACTTAAAGCGAAGCTTTTGTCAAATAATCGTTTACCATTATAAAGTTGTATCTCGCATCCAGGTAGCAAACTTTTGTTCCAATATATTCTGTTTTTCTCATTAGTTTCATCTAATCGCTCATCATAAACAGCATTCCGTAGAATAAAATAGTACATTTGTTTTATCAACATACAGTGACTCGCAAAACTGATCAAACCGTACTATTATTTCGAAATTTCTTTTGAAAATTTGTGAAAGGTATCAGCAGTAAGATGGTAGACATTTGTTTTTACATTATGCCAATATTGAAAAGTTGATTTCATTGCTTTGTTTGAGTCAGATAATCATAGACAATTGTGTAGTACATTGACATTTTCACGAGTCACCGTGTCCATAATATCCCTGTTAAAGTCTTACATGTTTAACTAAAATAAGATGTATTACACTTGTATAATTATGATTATAATAGTGTTTATTGCGTTTCAGACGAAATGTTTTTATAATCAAAACAAATGATATAACTGGAGCCCAGGACATTTTACCAAGTGCGGTAAATGCACATATTGTTAATAAAAATATTGTGAGCATTGAAAGTGATACAGGTAAGTAAACATTTGCTATATTAATGCTTTACAAAATCTGCTGAGCTATTTAATATTTATATTTCAATGTATTGTACATTGGTAGTTTTCTTATCTGCAATATTGCAACCAAGTAATTCTTTTCAGGTGTTAAAGCACAATGTAAAAATGAAGGGCAACAAATGCAGCTTATGAAAATACAAAACGCCAATACTATAGTAACAAAGCAAAGTACGTTGTTACAAGAAAGAAATCAGACTGCCATTTTTACTAGAAGTAATATACAAAATAACATCACATCAGGAGTGAGTTGCTACATCTTACAACGAAGTCTAAACAAAAGTTAAATTTATTAGGATCTAACAATTATTTTTACCTTTTAGTCGCCTCTTTATGTAAATTCTGGATCATTCAATCCAGGTCAGACGGAAAGAAGAATATTTAAATCATGCCCCAATAAAAATCGACAGGTGACAAACAACATAGTAGGCATAGTGTCTCCAAGTACTCCAGATGTAATAAACGTAGTGACAATGGAAAATCGAATTCAAAACTCTAATGCGACGACTCCTAAATCTACACTATCCGTTTGTAAGACTATCAATTCGCAGAGACAGAATGTGACTGTACGTCCTGTTCGTACTTCTAATCCAAATATGTCTCAAGTGCGATCTGTATCAGTAGTTTCTCCTGACATTTCTAAAACACCAACAAAAGCGCAGCCTCCGGATATGGAGCATTTAAATGAGCAAATTAAGCAAGCCAAATTCAAACAATTAAACGTACAGAAACAGCATATTGAGAAGTCAAGGTTTCAGCAAAATAACACGCAACGACAACACTCTAACACTTTGCAACCTGTTCAACCCCCGTTGAACACTCCTATACGTCGTATCGTAAATTCTGCGCCACAAAGAACGCAGCAGATTCCGATGCCGCCACAACAAGTACAGAAACCACCTATGGCAACGTCAACCCCTTCGTCAGCTGAACATAATACGCGCGATGGTATGGACAGTATGGAAGTGGATTCTATTGAACATGCTGTGGAGAAAGGGCATGTAACGCAACAATCTTCTCCGCCGCGATTGGAGCATGAGAACAGTGCAAGTGAAAGCATTGCTTATCTCCAAAAAACTATTAGCGACCCAGCAAACGCCATAGTTCAGCATCAGATTCAAGGAAATACCGCTAAAATGTTAGTGATGTTAGCCACGGGAGAACAGAGACTAATTACGTTCGACATACCGAACGAGGACTGCACTGTACACGACCTATTGGACCAGGTACGTGCAGTCTTGGGCAAGGTATGTTTCTACAAAGATTTGTAGAAAAAATTGTAGAATGGTGGACAAATTGTTGTGTAGTTGGGAGAATTTCAGAGAAGTTTGTAAGATATTTTCAAATATTAGGGATATCTACCTCAACGTCAACGCTTATTCAAATTTATAAACTTCCTTATGCAATCAA